TTTGAGGCATTTTAATTTTTTTTTTTTTTTTTTTTGTCTTTTTCCGTGTCCGGCAACGGATCGCAACCCTCAGTGTTGCCCCCGTACCGGACCGGGGACCGGCAACGGGATCGCAACCCTCGGTGTTGCTCCTGCGCCTCGCTCAGCCAGTGAGCGGGAACCGGTCTGTATGTGGGATCCGAACCCTCGGGCGGGAGCGCCGCCGCGCTTCCCAAGCGGCGCACTTATCCAGTGCGCCACCGGGCCAGCCCGAGGCATTTTAAGTTTTAATTATCAGGTAAAAATGTCTGAAATGGTTGAGTGAAGTGGGTTATATGGTAGGTGTTATTCTTGGCTAGAGGGAGTGGTTGGGTCAAAAGCCAAAATGAGAGAATGTAAAGAGGTATTTACTTAGAAGTGAAAAAGTAGTGTGTCTAGTAGCCCTAAAAGAAAAGTAATTTTCTACTTTTTTGTGTGTGTATGTGGTCAGCAGTTATATTTTTTCCTGCCAAACCAATATACATTATATCCTAAAATTCACCATTCAGTTCTTTTTCTTAAATTTACTAATCAAAGTAATTCCACAGTATTTCAGAGATCATAGCATCCTGCTGCTTTCTATGAGGAGAAAGAAATTTGGTGTGTGCTTTATCATCCTGTACCACAGGAGGTCTATTTATTTATTTATATATTTTTAAAGACCTAAAATGAGGAAAGTCCAATATGTTCTTTTTCTTCAGCAAGACAAATTAGGACTTTCCTTTTTGACTGATTACTTCAGTCTTATTTATTGCTTCATGGATACAGCTCAATAAATTCTCACCATTAGATAACTGTGAAGACACTCTTTTAGGAACTGAAAAGTGTTTCAAGTTTCCAAAGATACAGCTTCTTACATGTAATGGCATTCTAGCTCCTAATCTGCTTCTAAGTGTTTATTGCTAAATCTGCTTTAGTCTGTTGCAAAGGAAATATAGATGTCAAGAACCAAAGTCTTCTATTACTTGGCGCCAGTCTTTTTCTGAGACGAGTCAGTGATGACTCTTGCTATACATTTTTTTCTTTCTTTTCTCATCTATGAGAGACTTCGAACTTCCACTTTCTCCTAGGTCCCTATGACATAAACATTGCATTTCATCTGATCTGATTGACTCAAGTTAAAGTACGGCACTCTCTAGTTGTGTTAAGGAATTTTATTTAGGGAGAAAACAGTAGAATCCTTAATTGATAAGTAACGCTTTACTATTAGGTGTTTATTTTGGGGGGTACAATTTCATCTTAATTTTTTTTTTTGTTAGCTCTAAAATTTCAACCTAATATGCTTGCTTTCTTTTATTAATTTTTTTAGTTGCAGCTCTCCTTTTCAAAAAAACCTCTGTGATACTTTTACAATACTGAAAATACACAAGATTGTTCTTTAGAGGGTGTCTCTGGATTGTGCTGCTATAACAGAATACCTGAGACTGGGTAATTTATAAAAAATAGAAATTTATTCTCTCACAGTTCTGGAGACTGGAGAGTCCCAAGATCAAGGCACTGGCATCTGATGAGGGTCTTCTTGCTGCATCCTTACATGGTGGAAGAAGACAGAAGGACCAAAAAGGGGCAAACCCTGTGTACTCATAAGGCAGAAGAGCAGGGGAGAGAGCACCCAGTCCCTTGTGCTCTTTTTCTAGTGGCATGAATCCATTTATGAAGGCAGAGCCCTCGTGACCTAAATACCTCCCAAAGTCTTCACCTCTCAACACTGTTGCATTGGGGATTAAGTTTCCAATATACATAGATTTTAGAGGGGATGAAAACATTCAAACCATAGCAGAGGGTTATTATAATAGTGAGAAACTGGAATAATTTAAATATTCATAATGGGGATTTTAAAGCACATTTTGTTATCTTCATAAAATAGAATATTTTGCAGCCATTAAATATTATAATATAGATATATATTTATTGATATGAAAAGATATTCATGACAGTGAGTGACAAAAGGTTACAATAGCATATGTTGTGTGATGCCACATATATAAAATTGTATTTGTAAATCTGTATGTGAATATATGTAATATAGACCGGTATCAAGAAGATGTTTCCCCAAATGTTAATAATGATAAGCTCTGGGTGTTGGGATTTGGGGAAATTTTTACTTTTTTCTGTATTTACTCTGTCTTTTTCTTTAAAAAGTTTTTTTTTTTTTACAATGATCACATATTATTTTAAAGAAAATAAGTTTAAAAAAACACCATCTATAGTTGGTTACTTGTTAAAGGAAAAAGAACATTTGTCCATATGTTCTTTATTTGTATATCTTCTAGATTTCAGAACAGCTCATTTAAGAGAAGGAAAGCCTAACTATTGTTTAATGCTTTGGGGGTTTTATAAAATATACTTTATCATTATTAGTGTTTTATAATATATGTCAAAATTAATGCAAGAACTATTGACAAGACATCAACTCCACTGGACATGTTTTTTAAAGAGGTATAAAGTTTTTGGCCCAACTTAAATAGAGTCTGCTTTGAATACATGCTAAGGGGCATACTAAATAATTTATTGAGGTATTCCTGATATTTTATTATTACTAAAATAAATTGGCTTTAAACATAATAATAATTATTTACCTTGGAGTAAGTTGTTTTCATTACTCTTTATATTTATTCCAAATGAAGTAGCATTAAAAATTTGTTGAGTGCTGTTGATTAGAATAATCGTTTTAGTTAGGGATTTTTTTTTTTTTTTTTTTTTTTTTTTTTTTTTTCCGG